AAGATCTAATAGATCTATTGAAACAAGATATAAGGAACACATAGCACACCTAAAATTCATTAAAGACAATTGAGACGTAGGTACGTAGCAGAGGTATCTAAGGTATAAATAAGGACAGTATTGTATATATCAGGGGTTCCCAACCGGTGGTACGCGGTAACGTTTCAGGTGGTAGGCGTGAGTGATGTGAGCAATAGCAAACATGACTCACGGGTCGCTAGAAAAACTAAATACTCATAACCAAGTGAATAAAAAACCTAAATTGCCGGCCAATCGTAAATACGATAAAAGCTACTTACAGTACGGTTTTTTAGTGAACCAGTGACATTCATATTCCTCAATGTGTTGTATGTCTTGAAACACTTTCGAACCAATCCATGAAGCCTTCTTACTGATGCGACACCAAAATACCAAGCACCCTGATTTGATTGGTAAGCCCATTGAATTAAAAAAAAAATCTAATTTTTGAAAGAAAGAAACCCAAAATTTGACGAAGTTTGTCAATACTGATACTAACTTGATAAAGGTGTCATACCTTGCTAGTTTAAAAATTGCAAAGGATGAAAAGCCTCACACTATAGGTGAGACGCTTTTACTGACGGCCGCTGTGGATATTGTTCAAGCCGTGTTAGGAGAAAAGGCAGCCAAAGAAATTAAAAAAATGCCACTGTCAAATAATACAGAAAAAAGACGAATTGACGATATGTCTAATAATATTGAAGAACAACTGGCTTTAAAACTCCAAGAATGCACTTATTTTGCACTTCAAGTTGACGAGAGCACTGATGTTACAAACATGGCGCAGCTACTTGTTTTCATGTGATTTGATTATAATGAAGAGGCGATAGAAGAGTTTTTTTCTGCAAACCAGTTGAATCAAATACAACAGCGGAACTCATTTTTAAGGTAATTGATGAATATGTGTTCAAAGTAGGCATTCCCTGGTCCAAATGTATTGGTTTGCGTACAGGGCTAGCAGCAAAAATGAAAAGTACCCATCGAGAAGCATTAGCTGCTAAAGGTATGCTTCATAAAGGCTAGGGCTCTAGACACAAGATTATTTTCCTTGATGTGTGAAGAAATGGGTGGCAAGTTCAAAACTTTACCTTTGCATACAGAAGTGAGTTGTTTATCTCCTGGTAAAATTTTGAACCGTCTCTTTGGACTGTTTGTTTTTAAGTGAAAAAAAATCATGACATGGAAAAATTGTTTGCTGATGAAGAATGGTTGTCAAGATTGGCTTACCTAGTCGACATTTTTGACAAACACAACACACTGAACTTGGGACTTCAGGGACCAAACACAACAGCCTTCACAGCCAGTGACAAAATAAACTTCTTCAAGAAGAAGTTGGTTCTGTTTCGTTCACAAATGCAGGAGGAGAATTTATCTGCATTTCCCACCTCTATCATCATTTTTTGAAGAAAATGAAATATCTCCAATGCCAAGTGTGTTTGCAGATATCATTGTTCATTTGGAAGGCCTTCAAAAAAGCTTCAAGAAGTATTTCTCTGAAGATTATTCAAAAGTGGACTGGATCAGAAATCCTTTTTCGGGAACTTCACCAAATGAATTGGAACTAAAAGTAAGTTTTATCGACCTTACGGAAGATAGTTTCATGAAAGATTATTTCAAAGAGAAATCTTCAACTAATTTCTGGGTCAGATGTAAAACCGAGTACCCTTTGCTATTCAGGCAAGCTCTGCTACTTTGATGCCATTTGTTACGAGTTACTTGTGCGAGAGTCGATTTTTTGAACTGTTGTACATAAAAAATATATATAGAAGCAGAATACGTGTTGAAGAGAACTTAGGAGTGAAGATAAGTTCCATTAGTCCTAATGTTGAGATTATAATCTCAGACAAACAACAAGTTTCGTACTAAAGACTATAAAAGTATATTTTGTATGATGATTAATTTTTTGCTGACTAAATTAAAACCATTTTAATCATTTTATTCCTTCTTTATTCTAAGCATGTTATAAATAAACAAATATCTAACCATTAAATATAAAGTTTTCTCAGGAATTTAATTAAAAAAGCTTTTGAACACTTTTAGTGTTTAGGTACGCCAATATTTCTCAAAAAGTCAAGTTGTACGCAGGTGCAAAAAGGTTGGGAACCCCTGGTATGGATAATTAGTTTAATCCTCCTCTTGAAGAAGATCACTCGGTGATCGAAACACGTGTCGAGATGTTAAAAATAACGGTTTGGTTTTAGGATAAAACTCCAGTAATATTCGTATCTTTTCTAATTTGAAGTAATATGAAGTTCCTAATTAATTTCGAGCATTTTTGGAAAAGTCAAAAATAAAATATACTAGTAAAAATGTATATTCCCAATATCTTTGAAAATAGAAATATATTGGAACTGTTAATATTGAATTATATGTTATTATTTCTCTCAGGAACTCCATATGGACTTTGAATTAGGCACATTCACAGTTTTAGTTTGAATACAATCTCATTTTTTTAAACGACATGTATTTTTTTCAATAGTTGGCTCAAGATTGTACACTGCTAGGGACGACATAAAAGTTTTTAAATTCCTGGAAGTTTCAAGACGTGGAAAATACTCACTGGAAACTTTTAAGGGTTTATGATGTCAACACATTTCATGTACTTGATAGAGTTTTCGAGAATAAACTGTGGTACATGAAAAGGCTAGGAATTGGTTCCATTTGAGAGATTATCGGTCCTAATAAAAAAATTATAGAAACTCTCAATAATATTTGTTATTTATTACTGACATGTTCCATACTCCTCGGAGTTTATATTTGTACATTATATGTAACCGGAGCAAATAAATATCTACCTATCCATCTATATAATTTAGCATACGCTACTTTCTGCATTTGTAATTACAATTTATTAGATATTGTATAGTTGGGTCAGAAAAAAAACATTAGTTAGGAGATTTTTGTAGAGTTGAACTATTTTTTTCCAAAACGTATCCAGTATTGATGATAATTTATTTTATTTTTTTTACAGTTAATGAATCATGGCTGTTAAACGGACTCTTCGAATATTATTTGAACTCAAGATCAGAACGTGCGATGGAGATACTGGTTAATATCAATGAACCCCATCACAACTATTTATTTGATCGGTGGGCTATTTGTTTCGAAGTATTTTTCATCGTAAAGCTGACTTTATTTTTTCAGATTATCAGATTCAATGAGAGGCTCAAAAATAGATACTAAAGTTCAGGCTCTCACTCTTTTTGGTTATGTCGCTCGTAGACAGCCCACATGGCTTTATAAACTTCAAGAACATTGTCTCCTGAAAGATTTACTGAAATTACTGAAGGTAAGTTGCACCTTGTCAATATTTTGAACAGTTCGTGGGACAGCTCACTGTATAAACCGCTTCCAATCCGCTTCCCGGTGACGCGTCCGATGGGTGTTAACAGGTGTCTTTTACCAGACATGCGCGTTGTCAACGATTTACAAACAGTTGGAAATCTGTTTGTGACTCAAGGTTGGAACGAACCTAATATATAGGGTGTTTGGTAAAACCGGTCAAGTTTCATTCATTTTCTGACATATTTAAACTTTTTCTAATGGAACACCCTGCACTTTTTCATTTGTATGAAATGTTTCAACATTTCACTTCACTTTTTATCAGAGGTGTACTATACGAAAAACTGATATTTTACAAATTATACCCAGTTTTATTAATTGTTATAAGTACAAAAAATTCATTCATTTACGTTCACTTATTCAAATTGTTTTCAATATGAACAATAACGCCTGCATTTTTTATTGAATAGAGGATTCCAAAAGATGTTCAAAATGGCGACCATTGTCTGCCACGCATAATGTCAGTCTTTTTTTAAACGAACTCTCTACACGTTCCAGCATATCCTCTGAAATTTCCCTGAAAGCTCTAGTGATTCTTCGTTTCATGTTTTCTATAGATGTCGAAGGAGTTTGGTAGACAATCCATTTGATAAACCCCCATAAAAAAACCATTTTGGTCGAGAATCGTCAGTAATATAGTTAAGTTGATAAACAGTGTGATATTTGTTTTTATTGAATTACTGTGTTAAAAAGTGATTCAAATTTCGTATTTGGTTTAAAACTGTGAGTTGAATTGCAAGCAGTCATCTGAAAATATTACTTTTGTGATCACATCAAAAACAAGTTCGCATTTTTCATCTGAAGTATCACGAATTGAAGCAACTTACCACATAAAAAACAAAGTGAGAAGGTGAAAGTGATAGAAATAACATCAAAAACACTATAAACATTTGTCATAGTCCAGCAAAATTAGGCATTTATCATGGCTGGGGTTTGTTATAAATGTAATGAGTCTTGTGTTTTGAAAGACAGCAAAACAGAATTGTTTGGTTACCCCCGTGACCAGTGCAAAAGAATGGTTTGCAAATCCTGTGCTGAGATATCATCTTCGGAGGTTCGTGCAGTTATAATCACAACCAGAATAATGCTGTTCCACTGTCCTTTATGTAGAATTAATAACATACCACAGATTAATCAGAGACTCAATAATATTGAGCAAGAAATCCAGGACCATACATCACATCTCAATGGGAAGTTAGTCACGTTGGAACTGAGGATCCTTAGAATTGAACAATTCATAGAGTCGAATAAGCTAATTGAACAGAGATTATTGAAAATTGAACAAATCCTAGATTTGAACAAATCACTTCAGCAAAGAGTTTCAACATTAAAACAGCTCGTAGAGAGCCCTAGGGCCAGTTCTTAAAATCAAAACAATGGTGAAATTGGGACAAACTTAGCGGATTGTGAAACAGTTACTAACTAATGCAGGTCGCATGTTGATGAGATCGATTATTTTTACCCAAAAATCGAAATTAAATTTTCTTTCGAAGTATGTAATAAATATCGATGTATTGGTTTTCTTTTATCAACTGAAACTGTAAAATCGTGATTTTTTTCTGTTTACTGCTAATTAAAATGTCAGTTATGAAATTTCATTTAAAACAATTTCATTACTCAATATTTTTTTGCACTTTTTTTCAGAATGAAGTGGAGCTTTTACCATTAATAAGTGCCCTTCTTGTTTTAATTGTATTATTGCCTATGATACCATCTGTAATGGGACAATATTTAAAAGACATCTTTGACATCTTCAGGTAATAATTTTTAAAATATAGTAATATTATATACAGCGTGACTCACGGTCGATGGTAGGTTAGACGTTTCTGGAAAACGCAAAGCATGATTTTTCTGAAAATTTCACCTCTCACATTTCCTTANCTCAAAACACAAAAACCCCTAAACTGTCCGAGAAATGTCGTCATCGCCTATCCTGGGAAAAATCCAGTATCTTTGCAAGCTGTGTACGCCTTTGGATGTATTTTTTTTCATTTTGAGAATGTACTGCTTCGGAACTTTTAATGCAAGCCTAATCTTCGGTTGAACAATCATATTCGTCAAATTTAAGCAATAATGAAGCTAGAATGGTGAGTCCCGGTACAGTACCCTTTTATTTTTGTTTGTATGTGATGTAATAGAGAAATTCTGCATTCAAGATCTGATTCTATGAGTAACAATATGTGAATTTATTTTCGTGACTCTGTGGTCGTTCAAGATGTACTGCTGCTGTCTGTAGACACTAGAAGTATGTAGTATATTTGACAGTTGGCAGTGTTGACTGTTGGCCCTTGGCCATAGACCACAGATTGTTCCGTCTGAATCAATTTCTCTGGCTTTATTTCAGTAACAGAATATCACTTTGTGACGTTTAACATTACCAAGTTAGGCTTTAACCGAATTTGTAACATTTTGAAGAAATTTTTGCACTAGAGCATTTTCTCATGTTTCCTGTCACTTTTGATACGTCAACTGTCACTTTTAATATGAATCAGCTAGTGTTACCAATATCTCGTCGCGAAATGCTGCGTTTTGTGTTCGATTCATTCAAAAATTACGATTTTCTGTCAAATGTAACTTTTTTCGACATATCTGTTATAATTTTTTTCGAGTAGTAAGAACACTGGACAGCACTCTCAGCTCAGCAGTTCACTTTTTAGCCAGATTTTAGCGCTCGGTACAATAATTATTTCACTTTTCCATATAATCAAACAAATGTTGAATTCAAGGTAATTTTATTACCACGAATATGTTGTTAATGCCACTAGTCTTCTATGAAAATAATAATTACAATGAATTGAACAATTGTGGAAAAACTATATATTGGATTGTTTTAGGTTACATCAAAAACTAAAATGAGCAGCTAACCTCATAATTTCAAAAGATTTTAATACCAGCTCTGCTTAATTCCACTTCACATTTATTCATCATGACTGACATCTTCGAACGTCTAGAATCCAATGACAAACAAACTGTAGAATATGCAATAAACAGTATCAGAGAACAGTTTACAAAAGGTAAGAAGTACGAGATAACTACTAATTTTTCTTTAGTGAAAGCGGACAAGCACAGTGTCTTGAGTAGGAGAAATAGGAAGAGTCTAGGATGGAGTTGAGTATGTATTCTCACAAACTACACCTAATGATTGGATCTTCAAAAACTTTATTTTCAAAAATATCACGTTTCGCTATCACAGAAGCTTTTTCGTGGTGAATAACCTACGGATAGTTAATTCTATACTCTAATTTTTATATCAGTCAGTAAAGTATGTATTCATTTCCAAAGGCCCTTTGTTAGACAGGAACAGTTGGATATACTATGAGAAACAGTACATTGTCTTATTGGTCAAGAAAGCAATTTCCCTGTCATAGTGGATTTTAATAATAAGTTCCTTGATTTGGTTCATTTTGTAATTATTTTGTAATCTTACAAACTTCCTTACTGAAACAGAAAGTCAAAGCTTTCTGTCTGTTACTGCAGTTCGAATATGAAGTTGAGCAAAAGGATAGTGACTGTCAGCAAATCTCCACATTGGTATATTGAATTAAAAATAACGTATATCGTGCTTCGAGATTCAAACACAAACACCCCTTCCATATTGGTAGAAGTACTTCATTTCATCTTGAAGTTTCTGACAATAGCTGTAACACGTGAACATGCGAAAGAACACTTGAACAAATGTAATGAAAGAGGATTATTATTTATTACATATTTAATCAGGATTTGTTAAATGAACATATAAACTGAAGCACTTTCAGAAAGGATGATAATCGAATTTAATATTTCCAGCATAGCTCCGTGGTGTTTCGTACCATTTTGAGTAAAAGATGCTGTATTAAAATGGATACTCCTCAGAATGAATTCTCTCGTGAACTTTCAGACCACTACCATGCATGAAGCATTTTGAACAGATTCTACACCGAAAAGACTTTTTCCCAGCATGACTTATTTCATGAGCGTTCAAAGAAGCAATGTATGCAAAAGATTTCGGGCACTCTGTACATTGAAACGGTTTTTCCCCAGTATGAATCCGTTGATGAACTTCCAATCCAAAACTATTAGTAAAAGATTTTGAACAGCTCCTACACTTGAATGGTCTGTTCCCAGTATGTATTCTTTCATGAATTGTCAAGGAACCACTTTGAGTGAANCTATAGAAATGTTCTAAAATACAATTATCTATGAATTTTCAAAATTTCGTTGATAACAGTACTACGTTCACAACGATTTATCAGAACTGACTTCATACATTAACTGGCCCTTCGTTTATATTGAATTCAATCGAAATTGAATTGCCTCTAGCACCAATCAGAAATGAGCTCATATTCAGGTAGATCAAATGATATCTGAAAGGTACCAATATCAGTCAAGGTTATTCAGTAACATATTACGTCATTAAAATTGTAACAGGTAGTAAATTAATTTCACCACATTTGTTTCAAGAGAATTGTGTGAATATATAGCTGAAGGATTGGTTCTTCAATCTTTCCTCAAGAGTAAATTCAGACTGAATGTAACGAGAATTTGTAGTAGATATTGAACTTGGGCTTTTGGCATGCATTTATTCGAGTGCATTTTGTTTTTGTTGTATCAAGCACTAGGAACAGCTTGAATTGACCTGTTTTCCAAACGCAGGCGACTCTCATGATTGAAAATAGTAGATTCTGAGTGTATATGTTGTCGAAAACTATTATAATTTTCTGACCTCACAATAAAATTTCACAATTTACCATAAATCAACCTATACAGACACAACTATTCTATTAACCCACAGCAACATAAATAGGCAGCTCACCATAGTACGATCCTTAGAATAATTAACATAGGAATGTCTATTGAGAATTTTTATGAGGAATTGTAACTGATAGATCAAATTGCAGTGGATAACAACTTTAACCCGGATGTAATCCATCACATCCCCAATAAAATACGTTTCAAACAAGCTATCAACCCTCACATAAAATATAATACTGATACCTTTAAGACACTTACATATAACGGAGAAATATAAAATGAAATGAAAATACTACTGAATGATCAAAATAATAACAAAGCATATAAGACTGGTAACAAATAATAATAATAATAGGTCTTTATTCCCAGAATGATACAATGAATATATGTGAACATTTACTCCTTGGGTAGACATATTAACAAGTCACAGATAGACAAGGATAACAGACCAGGTGTCTACAAATTAACATGCGAAATATGCCCAAAAGTATATGTAGTTATTATTTGGTCCTTTTGGTATAGGTATAATACTAGATAATTTTAAATTGAAGGGGTTATATTTTTAGGAGTGATCAATTTTTTTTGGAAAAGAAAGTTTTTGGCTTTCTACTACTCCATCTGATACAAAAAAGGGGATGAGAGAATCTTCCAAAGAAAGGAAGGAAGTCCCAAATCAATAGTTGTAAGATTGTATTCTTTGTTAATATAAAATGTGTTCAGGCCATTTGGTATCAAAGTCCTATCAGAAATTATTTCACCATTACTCAAATCAATAGTTGTAAGATTGTATTCTTTGTTATTTTTCGGTATTAATGTCTTCAGTGTATTCCACATTTCAGTGGAATTGTTTTTATTTGATTCAATCTTTGTCTCTAAAATAGTTCATCTTTTCCTGTCTTATTGTTTTCAGTGCTATATTTCTTTTTTGTTCATACTTCTTCCAGTTATCCGTTGTTTTATTGGTTGTATACTGTTTGTAACTAATATCCCTTTCTTTTGTAGCTTGCCTCACCTTCTCATTCCAGAATTCCTTATAATGTCGAAAGATATTTATGCTAGTGAGTATCTCTAATATTCATCGGTTTTTTAATTATAACAAATATACATTCATTACAGATGGTCACTAACATAAAGGAAATATGAATTATTTCTTGTACTTTCATATCACAACTCGTGGAGAAATGAGTGTATTTTCAAATATTATATTGAATACAAACAGAAAAAATGTTATAATGTTACATAATTTGAATAATTCAGATTGTTGGACGAATGTACTGAGAGGTTGAAACACTGTTGAAGTTGAAACAGGTTGAAGCTGATACGTTTGTTGAATCTAGAATGTTTGATAGTGACACAGTGAAAATTGAACCACAAGGAGCAGTGGATACTAGTTTCTTCACCCACCTAAACCTAATGGATGGCAACGATGATAACAAAATCATTGGTGAATGAAGAAGGAAGATGATATCGACGTTGTCTACGAAGATCTTAAGTGTGAGGTTGTGGATGAAGAAATGTTCTCATACGAAATGCGTGGTGAGGACTTGACTCAAGATGTGAAACCACTTGTTCCACCAAACCACCACACACCAAAAAGTCATTCTGGAGGAAAATCATTCAGGTGTGATATCTGTTTGAAGCATTTCCCTACGCGTTGTAAACTGGAAGTTCACTTACGAGTTCATACTGGGGAGAAACCATTTCAGTGTGATTTCTGTTCAAAGTCATTTGCTCATAGTGCTACTTTGAAAAACCACAAAAGGATTCACACTAGAGAAAAACCATTTCAATGTGAAATTTGCATGAAAGCCTTCGCAGAGAGTCATGGCTCAAGAATTCACAAACGCAGTCATACTGGTGAAAACCTTTCCAGTGTTCCTCCTGTTCAAAATTTCGTTCTGGTAACTTGAGAGTTCACGAAAGAACTCACACCGGAGAAAAACCGTTCCAGTGTAAGATTTGTTCAAAGTTTTTTGCTCCAAGTGGTGGTTTTCAAGTTCACGAAAGTAGACATACCGGAGAAAAACAGT